GCACTGTGAACTCAGTTTGCAGCCACTGAAGTGAGCTAAGGAAGAAGGAGCCAAGTAAGGAGAGGACGGGGAAACTGGGGGTGCATCTACACCAGTGGTTCACAATCTTTTTTTGACCAGGGACCACTCTCCAACATAAGTACCAAAGGGGTTACAAATAAGTTTTTGGTCTATTTTAGATTCAGTTTGGTTATTTCGTGTACTGATTCAGAAAATTGCATTGGATAGACCACATCAACTTTAGTTTCTGATACAGAACACATGCTATCTAGTAGTCACCATCTGCTCACCTGTAGAAAACCATATATAATGAGCCTCGGCACTATAAGAAGGTTTCGCGAGACCAGTTGCTCTCGTTGCAATGGTGTAGTAGTAGTGAGGCTGTGGATCACTGGTGGTCCCGGGGCCACAGTTTGGGAACCACTGATCTCCACTGTGGAATTAATGCAGTTTGACATCACTTTAACTGCCATGGCTCGGTGCTATGGAATCCTGTGATTTGTATATCGGTGAAGTCCCAGCACTCTTTAGCAAGGATGGCTAAAGGTCTGGTAAAACTACAGCTTCCAGGACTCCATAGCATTGAGCCACAGCAATTAAAGTGGCATTGAACTACACTAATTCTACAATGTTTCTCAAGTGCTCCTCCAGGTGTTTTGGACTTCAGCTCTCAGAAATCCCAGCCATCTTACCAGCTGTTAGGAATTGTGGGTGCTGTAGTGCAAAACATCTGGAAGAGCACAGTTTGAAAAACTCTAACTCTAGATGGACCCAGAGATGTTTTAATAGCAGCTGAAAAAAATGGGGCTATGGATGATTAATCAGGCCTGTCCTTGCCAAATTGGGACATTTGAAAGGTGTGCTATAATTGGCTAAGTGAGAAAGAACTCAATTCAAAATATAAAAACCTGCAGGATCTCAATTTCTAACGGATTAATCAATATGATTAATAGACCGTCCAATTAACTGGACAAAGCTTTTTTAAGAGTCATAATTTTACTATAAAACTGCAGAGGGAAGCTCAGTTTCACTTTCATAAAAAATGCTTCTTGTAAGCCAGTGCTTTTTCTATCAGATGTACACCCACAACATCTAAAAATAAAGTATCCTTTCTTTTTTCAAAGCTATTTTTAACTCCTAGGGAAATTGAGAAAAATGTAACTGATTAATTAATCTATTACAGCCATTTGATTAGTCAATGAGAAGTTTTAAAACTGATTAATTAATTGATGAAAGTGATTTGATTAACCAACAAGGATTTAAAAAGAAATGAATAAGAGTTGAATTCTACTTGAAGAATTATGGACATTTCAAAAGTTTGCATGCTGTTGGAGTTAAGTCAACAGACGTCAGCTCAACGAATCCATCGTCCACCTTGGCCTAAACCTATTTTATATCTCAAAGTCTGTGGACCAGAAACTCAATTTTCAAGATCCGGGCCTAATGACAAGCCGCAAGTCGACAAGCCATTTCTCCCCTGAGCTCTCTGTATTGTGCCTTGCCCACTTCTTGCCGATTCTCCCTGCTGTGTTAACACCTCGAACATCTGTCATGTCCTCTCCCTCGGTGGAAGTAAATACCTCGTCAGCTTTCATTTGCTGCTTCCTCCCATTTGCCCGCTGTGACAGGCGCAACCTTGTCCCTGTTCAAGAGGCTGCCTGCTGCTAAGATCAGCCTCTGACAGATGCTAGACCAGCAGTTATAAAATGCACAGGCATGCCGTTGCTGATCCCTGTCCAAAGGGATCATGTTCTCTAATACCTTTCTGCAGTGAGATGGGCAAAACTAAGATCAGCTCTCACCTAATCGAGGACAGAGCACTAAAAAGGAACAGGTGGGAAGAAGGTGATACCATATTCCATACTGATAGATTTCCCAAAAGCATAGCATTCGATTTATTGGTGATTGTGCAATGGATAAAACAGGCATGGGCAAACTTCAGCCCTCCAGGTGTTTTGGACTTCAACTCCCACAATTTGCCCATGCCTGAGATAAAACCATAAGAACCTTCATGCTAATTACACTATGGGCCTGTCCAGACAGTACCTTTATCACAGGAGCTTCCATCGCAAGTACGAGGGTGGCTAGATGCCATTCCCTATAAACACGGAAGCAATCGCTACAAAAAGCAAAAAACACGAGATTTCCAGGTGTAGGAATATTGCGGTTTTGAGCCGAATATCCGCATCTTCAAATGTCTGTATGTCACTCCAATTGGAAATCACAGTATTTTTTATCTAGGTTTGTTCCTGGTTTTTAGATGTTTATTTCTGATTGGTCAGTTTCTAAAAAGAAGGTGACACTTGAGTACAAGACAAAAACTTTGTTTGTGTGTCAGAAACTTCATGAAACGTGTGGAGGGCACATTTTATCTGGCCACGACAAAATTGTGGCTCCTTCACATCCTTTCACAAGAAGATAATCAGGAACAGTCATGTATAACCTAGGAACAGCACCCTGTTTTCGATGCCACAAGTACACAACTGAACCTGCCAGGCTATAAAAAAGTGTCAATAATGACAAAGTTCTGTTCCTTGCTTGAAAGTGTATGTTCCTGTTTATTGTGCTGTGCTGACTTGGACAGAAGTGGTCCTATCCCATAAACTTTGTTTGCGTGGCAGATACTTCATGAAAAGTCTGGAGGGTACAGTTTCTCTGGCCAGGACAAAGAATTAAACTTTTGCTGTGATTCGGATATCCAAATCTCCGCATATCCACATACATGCAACTTGAGGGATTTTTTCCCAACAGAAGTCCCGTGGCGGCAATCTTGGGAGCCTCTAAAGTTCACAACAAAGCATCAAGTCTTGACAATGGAGGCAGAAATCCCGGGACCAATGGGTCTGTATGTGGACCTCTTCTGAAGTTCTGGGATTTTTTAACCCTGTTTAAAACCAGTGGTTTAGTGCTGTCTGGAAGTGCCCTATGTAAAATTTGGAAAGTTTTCTGTTCCTGGTTTGCCAGTGTTATTTCCTGTTTAATGGTGCAGTACTTACTTCAAAAGTAGTTGTTGTACTCCAAAAACTTTGTTTTTGTGGCTTCCACAAACTATGCTGAATTGGTTGAGACTCTTTGAGGCATTCATTGAAAAACTATAGCAAAATGTACTGCAGGATGTCCCTCAAAAACAAAGTTTTTGTAGTTTAATAAACCTTTCCTATATTTTTATGATAGAACCAATTAGGAAATGACATTTATAACCCAGAACAAAAATAGTGTTACATAGTATTATAGCCCAGAATCACAGTATGAAAATTATCCACCTCTAAGAAGGTAATACTTTTTGTTCATGAAGTTAGGATAATTTTTTTTAAGTTTGAGGGCGAGTTATAATTTATGTTAATGTGAAGCCATCAATTGATTAATCTATAACAAGTATTGATTGTGACTACTGAAACTGGTGTTCTTTCAGCCTCCTGTTACAAGTTTATGGTAACAAGATCAAGAGCTTATTTAACTTATTTCTACTTGTGACTCCTTTCTGCCGCATAAATTTTTTATGAGTCCCCAAATACATAGATATATAACAGGTATGGGCAAACTTGGGCCCTCCATGTGTTTTGGACTTCAACTCCCACAATTCCTAACAGCCTGAGGCCCCTTCCTTTCCCCCCAAGTTTGCCCATGCCTGGTATATACAGTAGGTATAAAAGTCAAACATATACGGGTAACAAATAAGCATGGATTTAGAATGGATTAGTATAAATACAACTTTCAATTGATAGAGGAAGAACCTTCACATCTGAGACTGATCCTTGCTATTGTAAATAACAACATAGTTAAGTTTTCTACCATTTTATTATAAATGTCTTGCCCTTGTGTTTTAAAGTGACATATATGTGTGTTTTCCACATGAGTATGAAATATTTATTTTCCTGTTTCTGTTTTATAATTGGGGAGTTTGATGAGAAAGGATGGAGTCAGCCAGTTGAAACCAAGGCTCACTTTTCCTATTTAGAGGAATTAAAAGAGATAGTATCACTAGGAAAAGGGAGGCAGCCACTCTAGGACACAGGTGTTGGTATCATGAAATTACAGGAATTGATAATTATTTTTATTAATTATTATAGGATCAAAAGTGCTGTGGAAGGCTTTCATGGCTGGAATCACTGGGTTGCTATGAGTTTTCTGGGCTGTATGACCATGTTCCAGAAGCATTCTCTCCTGATGTTTCACCCAAATCTATAGCAGGCATCCTCAGAGGTTGAGGGGTCTGTGGGAAACCAGGTAAGTGAGGTTTATATTCCACAGATATGTAAACCTCACTTGCCTAACTGACATATCTGAGGATGCCTTCCATAGATGTGGGCAAAACGTTAGGAGACAATGTTTCTGAAACATGGCCATACAGCCTGGAAAACCCACAGAAACCAAGGATCAAAAGTTTTGAATTGTGCCTTTTTAAATTTTTTGAACACCTGTAATTGCATACAAAAGGAGAGATCTTGGAGATGGGAACCAAGGCTAAACACGGAATTCATGTATGTTTCACATGAACCTTATGCATATAGCTTGAAAAGTAATTTTATGCATAATCTTTTAAATAATTTTGTGTATGTAACAAAAATTTTGTTCATTGAACCATCAGAAAGCAAAAGTGTCACTATCTCAGTAGGTCAGGTGGACAATTTTGAATTTTTAGAATAAGGGGTCCTCACCCTATATAGATATTATGTAATGTGATTTGGAGGAAAACATTTACTAAGGATAGCAAAATGTCGTGAGCCAGCCCTAGCAGGACTACAACAGCAGGTCAGGATGGGAAGGGAGAGCTGTCTAACATTTTAACACAAACATCTTGTCCTCATAATGGCTACAAACTAAGTTGTCTCCCCCAACCTCTGCTTCTCTTTCTGGCTATCTTCAAAATGACAGCTTCAGGGTTATGAAATGCAACTACAGCCGAACATTGTGGGGCAGAATGATACATATACGGGGGGAAAATGGTGTGACGAGGGGAGACTGATGAAAGTCAAGAGCAGATCAAGAAAGCAGCGTACCTGTATTGAGGACGATGAACTAATGGAGCTGAGAGAGCACACAGGGAACACAACATGGTTGAACCGGTGATCTAAGAGGTGGTGACAATAATGGGAAAGAGCTGGGAAAGTCGGGATGGTGAACATACTTTCCCCTCTCCCCAATTTGAACTGAAATTGCTCAACAATTAATGAATGGTTTGCCCACTAGAAACCGGCATTAGAGGGTCCTTTGACCAATGTGGGATATGGCTCGAGAGGCAAAGCAGGCAAATAGGAGACCCCTGGTTGCTAGCACACCACCGATCCCATTTTAATCTGCCCCGATCTTATCCCAAAGCATCCATTTTCCCACAGCTTGATCTCAGCATTAGCATTATTATTTTTTAAAAACCTCCGAAATGTGGCAACTTTAGTTTTTGCTATGGCAAGGATTATGGTGGTGGGGATGATGATGATGGTGAGGGGGGAGTTGCCATATCAAGTTGCCCTCATATTTAGAGGCTGTTACAGAGGTCTTTAAATACAGGGGAAAATGATGTCAATGCATGTACCTTTTCGGATGTTCCCATCAGGCGATTGTCCGAAGTCACCCGTAGAGAGGAGAAAACAGGCTCGGTCACGGTTGTAGCGCTCCCGGCCACCAGGTGTAACAGGTGACTTCTCCTCAGGTGACAAGGCCTGGTCAATGGTCGGGCAGTCCTCATTAGCCAATGCTGCATTTGCAGCATCACCGTTTTGCTTGGAATCTGTGAAGGAATTAGAAGAAAGGAGAAGGGAGAAAGAGTAAAATGAAAGGAATCAACAAGAAGCTACCACAGACTCCTGGCTTTTCAAAATCACCCTTCACAATTTGGGGTTCATCTCTCCAGAATTTACACATCATCTAAAACCACTGGGTCCCATTTCCACCAGTTGTCCTATGAAGAATCACTATATTATTTGGGGCATTTTTAGCTGAGAAAAATAGGGAATACGGAGAGACATGACTATAACATTTCTGAGCAAGAAGGGACATCTAGTTGCTTAAAAGTAAGATTTCCCCTGGCATTAAGTCTAGTCGTGTCCGACTCTGGGGGGTGGTGCTCCCCTATATCTAAGCCGAAGAGCCTGCATTGTCTGTAGACACCTCCAAGGTCATGTGCCAGCATGACTGCAAGGAACGCTGTTACTTTCCCACAGAAGCCTTACCTATCAATCTACTCACATTTGCATGTTTTCAAACTGTTGGTTGGCAGAAGCTGGGGGTAACAGCAGGAGCTCACCCTGCTCCCTAGATTCAAACCACTGACCTTTCGGTTAACAAGTTCAACAGCTCAGTGGTTTAACCTAATGGGCCATCAGGGAGTTATTGTTGCATACTTTCAAGTTATTTCTGACTAAAGTGAACTTGTCATTGTTCAATACCCAGCTCAGCCATGGAAACCCGGTGTGACTCTGGGTAATACACGAGAGTGTATTACCCAAGAAAAGCCCAAGAAAACCTCATGTTAGCTTCAACTTGGGTTTACTATAAATTAGAGATGACTTGACGGCACACAGCAGCAATGACAACAACAATGCTACCAGTGCCTTTATAATACCACCAGTAACTGCAGCAACATCTTAATAACACAAAGATGTTTTTGTATTGATTTCCCATTTGTGGGAACAAAATGCTGGACAAAGTAGACATTTGTTTTGATCCACAGAAGACTGTCTTATCCTTTCCAAATAGGCAACTTGTTTTGAGGAAGAAATTGGACTTTTAAGTTATTAATGCAGACTAAAAAAAATAAGTAAAGGTAAAGGTTTCCCCTTGACATTAAGTTTAGTCATGTCCGACTCAAGGGATGGTGCTCATCTCCATTTCTAATCCAAAGAACCAGCGTTGCTCATAGACATCTCCAAGGTCATGTGGTCAGCATGGAGGGCCATTACCTTCCAGCAGAAGCAGTACCTATTGATCTACTCACATTTGCATGTTTTCGAACTGCTAGATAGGCATAAGCTGGGGTTAACAGCAGAAGCTTACGCTGGTCCCCAAATTCGAACTAAGTTCAGCAGCTCAGCGGTTTAACTCACTGTGCCACCACATGCAGACTGCCTTGTGAAAATTCAAATTATTGGTCTCTTAACTATAAGACTTCATACCACGTTTCACATTGAGGGATACTGACCTGGGCCACTAGGATCTCTTAAAGGGGGAAGCTAAAAACAAGATGATAGAGAATTGGGGTTGTCTCAGCAAAATCAAGACAGTTGGAAAGGTATGTCATAAGCCTACTTACCAAGTGCTTAAAATCTGTAGTGTAGACATGCCAGGTGGATCAATTATGCACAGAAGGACACATGAAAATTGTTTATGTGCATGTTTACAAATGCCATTGTTCTTACTGAAGTTTCAGAGGGGCACTACATAAAAATGTGCATGTTAAAGCAATGGTGGGGAAAGGTTGGGGTTTGCATTCACTGCACTACAGTAATCTGAAATAATATACCTTGTGTTTTATATGAACATGATTTTTATTACATATTAAAAGATAAAGACTATCCATTTAAATAAGCAATGTTGTTGTCTTTCTATATTTATTCTTATCTTAAAGGAATGCTGCAAGCCAGAGTTTTCAGTTTTGATTTAAACAAAACGGTGAAGGGGAATTTACAACTAATATTACAGGGTGTCCCAAAAGTTGCCATACTAGGGGTATATAGGTATCTTGGAACGTGTTTACTATGAATACGGGAGATGACTTAGTGTGTGTGTAGAAAGTGATGGCCAATGTATAGACAAGGCACGGGCAAACTCGGCTTAAGCAGATGAGGGGGGAAAGGAAGAGGCCAGAGGCTGTTAGGAATTGTGGGAGTTGAAGTTCAAAACACCTGGAGAGCTGAGGTTTTCCAATGCCTGGTGTAGATGTATTTAGGGTTCTTCATCATTCATGACTTTTTGTCCTGAATGAGTTTGCTTATTCTTGATACAGACAATATTTTGTAAATATTTGAAATGAATAATTGGTAAATAAAAGTAAATTTAGCTACATTTTCCCATTTTCTCCATGTATGGCAACTTTTGGAACACTTTGTATTTTACCTGACAACAACATCCATCATTAAGTAATCATTCTACAAAAGGAAAAGCATGTGGACACAGCAATGGATTTATGACATTTGGGGAGAAGAAATGTCACTGTTCTGTAGGCCCTTGGTATCTGTTGAGATTTGGTCCCAGAACTGAAATGTGTGAATGCTTAAAATGGTGTCCCTTGTACAAAGTAACAGTTTGGTTTTGGGAAATTTTTGAAATATTTTAAAAGGTGTGAGTGTTTTGAATCTGTGGGTTCAGAATTTATGGGCAGGAGGGCCCATCGTAAACAAAATAAAACTGTGAAGTGAAGCGCTGTTGCAGTGGTAAAATATCCAAATTTGAACAGTATTTCATATAGATATATATAATCATAGAGTTGGAAGAGGCCTCGTGGGCCATCCAGTCCAATCCCCTGCCAAGAAGCAGGAAAAGCACAATCAAAACACCCCCAACAGATAGCCATCCAGCCTCTGTTTAAAAGTTTCCAAAGAAGGAGCCTCCACCACATTCTGGGGCAGAGAGTTCCACTGCTGAACAGCTATAGGAAAGGTGGAATCTCCTTTCCTGTAGTTTGAAGCCATTGTTTTGCCTCCAGGGCAGCAGAAAACAAGCCTGCTCCCTCCTCCCTATGCCTTCCCCTCACATATTTATACACGGCCCTCATCATGTCTCCTCTCAGCCTTCTCTTCTGAAGGCTTAACATGCCCAGCTCTTTAAGCCGTTCCTCATAGGGCTTGTTCTCTAGACTCTTGATCATTTTAGTTGCTCTCCTGTGGACACATTCCAGCTTGTCAACATCTCCCTTCAACTGCAGTGACCAGAATTGGACACAGTGTGATTCCAGGTGTGGTCTGACCAAGGCAGAATACAGGGGTGGCATGACTTCCCTGGATCTAGATCAGTGGTTCTCAACCTGTGAGTCCCCAGATATTTTGGCCTTCAATTCCCAGAAATCCTAACAGCTGGTAAACTGATTGAGATTTCTGGGAGTTGTAGGCCAAAACACCTGTTGACCCACAGGTTGAGAGCCACTGATCTAAACACTATTTAAAATATTTTTAAAATATTTGAATATTTAATAGAGTCATCGAATCATTAGTTGGAAGAGGCCTCATGGGCCATCCAGTCCAACCCCCTGCTAAGAAGCAGGAAATTTGCATTTAAATCATCCCAACAGATGGCCACCAAGCCTCTGTAAAAACTTCCAAAGAAGGAGCCTCTACCACACTCCAGGGCTGAGAGTTCCACTGCTGAACAGCTCTTGCAGTCAGGAAGTTCTTCCTAATGTTCAGATGGAATCTCCTTTCTTGTAGTTTGAAGCCATTGTTCCGCATCCTAGTCTCCAGGGCAGCAGAAAACAAGTTCGCTCCCTCCTCCCTATGACTTCCTCTCACATATTTATACATGGTTATCATGTCTCCTCATGTCCAGCTCTTTAAGCCGCTCCTCATAGGGCTTGTTCCATTATTTATTTAAACATATACTTATTCAATTAAATATTATTTTCAATATTTAAAATATTCAAGAACATCATAGAATGACACTGAAATCAGGACATTCAGTCACCGGGAGCCCCCGGTGGCGCAGTGGGTTAAACCCCTGTGCCGGCAGGACTGAATACCGACAGGTTGCAGGTTCGAATCCAGGACAGGCGGATGAGCTCCCTCTATCAGCTCCAGCTCCTCATGCGGGGACATGAGAGAAGCCTCCCATAAGGACGATAAAACATCAAATCATCCGGGCGTCTCCTGGGCAACGTCCTTGCAGACGGCCAATTCTCTCACACCAGAAGCGACTTGCAGTTTCTCAGGTCGCTCCTGACACGACAAAAAAACAACAACAACTGAAATCAGGTTGAGGGACATTGCAAGTATTTATCCATCAGATAACTATGGCACTTTTGCAACTCACAAACACTTGGAATAGCAAGTTGAGCTAAGAAAGAATCACGTATTCTTTGGATATTTTGAAAAGCCTTCGAAACGATAATGAGGAAACCGATGTGCTCTTTTTAAGGAAGGAATTTGGAACAGTCCTGTGCCATTGCTATTCAACAACCGAATGTGTCTCAGACCCTGTCATGTCTTTCCTTTTCCTGCAGCCGCTATTCAATTCTGTGACAGACAGGATGGACAACTGTTCTCAATTTCTGACAGTTTCAAAATAGTGACAACTGCCACACATTTTCCTTTCCCCCAATATTTCCCCTTAAATTAACGGATGACATATTTCCTGCCCTCGGGGACACTTTTCCGCATCGATTTGTTGGCAGAGTTAAATGCTGGACATCTCTGTGGAACCCCAATGTCGCCAAAGATTCTTTGAAACGGTTTGAAAACCACGGCTCAAGGCTAAACAAACGCGGTTCCTCGTGTATTATTTGCCTTCTTGATCCTTCGTCAACCTCTTTCCTAAACTGTCGTGCCTGAGGCCGAACTAAGGACTTCGGAAGAAGGCTAAAGACTGAGGCCCAAACAAAATATTTAAAATGTAATTCTTTTCATCACAAATGGCAGATGAAGTATTTGAGTCGTCCTAAAGTATTGCTTTAAAATCAATCCCCTTCCATGGGGAAGTCATTATCCTGGCATTGCCATGGTGACATGGTTATGATGGGAGTTGAGCAGGCCCAATTTGGTCTCCTCAACAAAATGGAGATTTCAGGCAACTTCCTGCTTTTCC